GGTAAACATCTAGGTTTTCTGTGGTCAACTGTTCTTGTATGTTGCATTTGTAAAATGATTTTGTTTCCATCTACAGTTTAAAGGTTTGTTGGCCAATCAAGAGCAGGAAAACGATGGTCGTTGAACCTTTTTTTTTGTTGTTGGTATTTTTAGCAGAGTAGGCAAATGTCAAGGCCTGATGGGAAATGAAATCATCATCTCTGTAAAGTTTGTCGTCAGAAGGAAGCATGAAGTTCTTTAAAATGATCTGGTAGATGGTTGAGCTGACTGGACTTCAGTAAACCCCATAGACCGACACCAGGAGCAGACATGGCAACCCAAACCATCCCACTTTAAGCAACATTGATTCTTTGCTTCTCCACTCTTCCTCCAAACTCTGGTTTCCAAAAGAAATTAAAACTTTGGACCAGTCAGCAACAGTCCAGCTGTTTGTCCTCTGTAGCCCAGTTAAGATGTTTCTGACTTTTGTCTCAGCATCGTGAGGAATGTAAAGTTGTAGGATCTGTCTGCACACAGTCGTGGAATTTAATCACAACAACTCATGTGATTACATTATGAATCAGAAACTGAAAACTATTCATGTGACATCAAGTCACTGTTTTTGTTGCTAAATGTCCATAACCACTCAAAAGCTGCCATCTTATTTTGTGGACTTACAGTTTTCCAATACAGCAAAACAACTGAATAAAGGGATGTCATGTTCTTTAAATTCTTTGAAATAAAATTGATTTTCTTTTTAATTTTTTCTGATTTAGAGATAATGTGCAGGAAAATGCTTTAATGTCAGGAAGCCATTTATTTGTCTTTTTTCCTCACCTGGTAAGGAGCTGTAGGATCAAAGTTTTCCCAGAAAACAGGCGGTCCACAGAAACAGGAACAGCTACAGGAAAACACGAGCAAAGACGCAGCTGCAATGGTTTCACTTTCACTTTGCGAGAAATCAAACTGAACTCACGGGAGCCGCTGGCAATGCTTTACCTTTTCTCAAGATTAAATTTGCGTTGGATTCTCCTTTGTTTTCCCGTGGTGAGGTCGGTCTGCAACATCGCTGCATAGAAACACACATTTCAGCCGATTCCAGCTGGAAATAAACCAAAACTGTGAGCGTGAGTGCTCATACACACCTGAAAAATCAATCTTGCTTCGGAAGTTCAACATATTTACGTTCATACTGCCTTTTGAGTCTCTCAAATAATATTCCTCCATGTCCTGACTCTTAATGGAGTTGTTGGGATCATCCTGGAGAAAGAAAACAAAGGAGCAAAGTGTCAATCAAAATCACATACACACACACACACAAAATTACAAAAATCTAAAGCTAGAGTTTACCTCAACTCTGTGCCACCTCCCACAGTCTTCCAGATAATACCAATACCACGGAGTGTCAGATGTGTCCATTTTTTCTTCTTCATTTAGAGCCCACATTGTGCTTACAAACTAAAGCTGAATAAAAAAGTCAACCTGCTCTACCTGTCTATCTCTGTGTCATGACTATTTAATTTGCCCTTTGAGTTTCTGCCTCCTGAACTGAGCCACTCCCACTGAGGTAGGCTGGCTGCTCTGCACTGAAGACTCCCGGTTAATTGCGTGAAACGAAGTTCCTACTCAGTATGGAAAAGTTTAAGCCAGGTCTAGATAAATAGAACAAGAAAACATGTGTATTTCCAGGCATTGTTTCTTATCCCGCCATTAAAAACGTCACCCTGTTCTTCCTCTTCCTGGTTTTCTGATGCTTAAACTAACATGCTCAGGGGGTTCTAGACAAAAAATCTGGCTTGCCTAGTTGAATCTATTAAAGACTGGACTTAAATGAAAAATATGCAATGATTCTGGTCCCAGTCGTCCTGTCTGAGAGGCTGTAGACTATAACGTATTTGATTCTGTGCTGCAAAATTTATTACGCTGTGCAACATACACACAGAAACATACAGCTGTCAATAAATCCGACTCATCCACTCAAAGCCATCGGTTATGAACTACAGCAACAGCTTTTTAACAGAAGCCAAAAATGGTCCGTTCTTATACCAGCTGGTAATACAGACAGTCATCCAAGTAACACGGCAAAAGCAATATTACATTATTAAGCAACATTATTTATTACAGTACATCCTGTGCATTCTGAAACTATTTATTCTGGTTGAACTTTTTCACATTGTGTTACCGCCACAAACTTTTTATGTATTTTGAAGGAATTTTATTCGATAGAGCAACACAAAGTAGAGTTTAATTGTGAAGGGAAAGGAAATAAAACATGCTGGTTAGTTTTTCTGGAAAGTGTGGCATGTGTTTCTACTTTCCCCATTTTTAGTTTGATACTCATAAGCAAAACCATCAGGGGTCACCTAACTTTTTAATAGTAGTTCATTTATATGATTGAACAAAAAATATATCTTAAAAGGAACACGGCCGCTAAATGAGAGATAAAGCTGCAGAGAGATTTGAAGATGATTTAGGTTAGAACGAAATCTATCATTCAAAAAAGAATTGAAGTAATATGGCATAATTGCAAACTCATGAATCCTTTATGAAATATCAAAAAGAAAGCTGTAAAACACACACACATATATATATATATATATATATATATATATATATGTCAAGCCAGCAAACATGCACAAAGTGCTTTTACTGTTTGGTTAATATGCAAAGCACTGCAAGGAGGGGAAAAAAAAAAAAAACACAGCAGTGCTCAGTCTAAACACACCTTTTCAATAGTGGAAGCTTTCCTGTAGCAGGGACTATGTGGTTGATGTGAAGATAATCTGGAAGAAAACTTTTAGTAGCTGCAAAAAATTTCAGACTTGGACAAAGATCCATATGAGGACACAACATGCAGCCAGAGATGGATAGTTTAACTATGTATGACGGCCCTGTCAATTTCCAGACCCAAATTCAACTGGGAAAATGTGGTCAGACTATTTCAATCGCTTGCTGTGTTAATATAGCAGAGGCTTTCCCGCAAGACTTGCCACTTTAATTTCAGCAAAACTACAAAGTCGTGACTCAAGAAGGTGAGTACAAATGCATGCCACACTTCTCAGATCTCTATTGGTTAAATTTTGACAATCTGTCTCATCAGATAAAATCCCAATAAAACACATTACATCGTTATAATGTGGCAAATGGGGAAAAGTTTAAGGCGTACAGATACTTTGACGAAGCACGTTATGCTTTGTAACGGGTTAAATGTACTCTAGGTGCAAAGGTGACTCGTTTTTTTTGTCCTCAGGTACAGCTGGTGATGTTCTCACACTTATAGGACTGCATTTCTAATGTGACGCTCACCTGGTTTCCGACGGACACGAACTAAGCCGCAGACCCTTAGTAACAAAATAAAAACGCAAGTTCAGTCGTCAAAACCTCTAAAGACACACTTGGGAGCTACGGACGAACATATCCATCACAAGTTTGTGTCGCGGTGACACAGTCAGGAGTAAAACCTTTCACAGAAAGGGTAAAAAGTGCACTGATGCATGGTTTAAATAACACAGAGGTAGAAGCTTATTATGAGAACAACTCGTCAAAAGGTCACGCTTAAATAATAACGGCGACAGTAAGAGTGTTGCTTTGGATGTTATGCCATGGTGACTCATGGTGCGCTAAAGGTTTTAGGGGAAGTGTTGCCAGGAATGTCCTTGAAGGACCACTGCTGCATTACCAGTCAGAAGTTTACATACACTTATCGACGGCCTGAACGTCAACCGTTTGCTTAATTATGCGATCGGAACAGCTAATGTAAAGTTTGTGCAACACACAACTTCAATGGATTTTGATCAGACGAATCCATGTGAATAAATTGTGAGTGTGTTTTTTTTTTTTAGTGAAGGGTAAAATTATACCTAAAAGCTCAAAAATACTACTTCCATTTTTGGCTTAACGGTCTTTAGAGAGTTGCAACACCCTAACCAATGTTCTCTTAATGGAGGTTTGGGGTAAATGGCTGAATTTTGGACACAGTCAGGCGATGAGCCAAACTCCCATCAAACTACAACTTAATAATGGTAGTTGTCCAAAGTCTGTGTTTATCATTTTGAGCCGCCAATTGGGGAAAAATTAAAAATCTTTTGCTCACTAAATTCCTTGTAGTGGTATGTTGTATAATCACTCTTTCCCTAGAAAGAGAATCATCAGAAATCATCATAATCGCCACACACGGTCATGAAATTAATGCCAACAGGATTGTATGTAAACTACTGCTAACGAATGCAGGCACTCGCAGTCCTTCGTTGTAACAAACTAACATATGAGACCACATCGTATTTTTGGTATTATAAAGAGGCATATGTATGGCACTGTGGATTAAAAATAAGACGAGGGGTCAGAGTTGGAACACTGCCTTAAATCTCCAAACTGAAGCCACTCTACGCAGACTGTGTGACAAGCAAAGTGACGTATAGTACAAAACACTGCACACATGTCAGTACTTTTAACTTTTGAGCAAAGTGTGCAGAATGCCACCATTGTTTTCCGACTTTTTAAACATTTTCCAAAGGCACTTTAAAATAAAATAAAAAAAAATCCAATACTCCAGTTACTCACTGGAAGTGACGTTTTTTGTTTTTTGTTTTTGTTTTTGTTTTTTTCTCTCCCATTTCCACAAATCGAATCTGTTCGTCAACTCTTTCCTCATCAGTAGAACTCGATCAGATACTCTGGGTAGATCTGATTGCTGTCAAATATAACGTATATCTTTGGGTTGGCCATATCGTCCACGCAGCTGTCGTAGAAGTTGGTAAAGCTGGCGTCCTTGGAGGGCGGCCTGCAGTACATGGGATGACCGACCGTGTATTCGCCGACGAGCACTCTGGCGAGGAACATGGTTTTATAGGGCGGCTCGTTGGCAAATATAGGCGGAGCGAGTCCGTGCCTCTGCAAGGTGGTGTTGTGTTTCCCGGTCGTGTGGCAGAATTTACTGGAATATTTGGCGTCGCGGGCGAAGTAGCTCCCTGTGGGAAGGAGGATTAAACAAGATTTTAAAAATCAAACTGGTAACGACACCGGTGCGTTTAAGCGTCAGTCCAAAGGGACTGTACCTTTGCCATAAACATCGCCATGACTCCCTGTCAGACGCCAGTCAAAGTTAAACGTACAAATAGCTTGTATGTTGCTGTGTCCTGTTCCATGGAACAGCATTCGCTCTTCGATATCCAGAGTTCGCTTGACTTTTCGCAACTGCGTTTTCTTCCTTAGGGGAGAAACACAACACAGGGCATAATAACAGATTTACAGGTATGAAAGACTTTACTGTACTCGGTTAGTTTGACTCGTACTCATCAGCAAACACAAACCTAAGGTTTGCTGTCAGGTGCCGCGCAAAATCCAAATCTGTTGCTGATTCTAAAACTGCGGCTTGCTGCTTTTGTTTGTCCCCAAATTGTCTGACGGGCTAAATTCATTTAGCCAGCATATAAAAAGAATAACGTCACAGTCGCAGCGGAATCGTCTGCTCACGAAAGGAAACGACACGTTACCTGCAGAAGAACTCCCACAAGTCCAAGTTCTGGATCCTCTGGATGGCTTTTATTGGATGATCCATGGTCCTATCGTACAGCCTGGCGACTTCTTTGAACTCGTATGTGTCTCTGCCGAGCTGGATAAGCTGCAGAAAAAACAAACAAAAATTAAAATACACATTTTTGTATTATTATTATTGCTTGTTCTTCGGCATCGACAAGTGCCATAAGGTGTTTGTGATAATCAATTGTGAAAATCATTAACATTTTTTACAGAGGTTATCTTTTTTGGACCTAAAAATGTGTTTTATTATGTGAAGCATCTTGCGTTGTGGGGGGGGGTTCAGTTCATATTGAATTCAGCATATCTACATATGAATGTATCTATATATATATATATATATATATATATATATATATATATATATGTCTTACCTGATAGGGCTCGTCTGTATTGATTCTCTCCCAATGACATGGCACAGGCAAAGCCAGATTGTCACAAATAAACCTTAAAGAACAAATCAAGGACAGTTTTTAGCTTAAAATGAATGAGACATTACACAAAACGACAATTCCTCATCTAGTTTTTTTTACATACCGTATATCACAAATTCATTCAAACTCCTAGTTTTTGAAGGACCACACCCAAGGGAGGGTATTACATATTTCCCAGGCACGTAGTGTGATTTTATAGCACATCCAAGCAACCATGTTAGCTTCAGTCGTACTGGAAAGGCTATATTTATCAAAAACAAGTTTAAAAGAAATCTATCTTTGAATCATAGCCAAATCTTATGCTTTGAAATCAGCCTCTGTCTCTTTAAGAACCCCGTGCACCGCGTCATCACAACGATGCTTCTTCATGAGAAACTCGGGTGAGGACAAAAGGTCCAACGCAGAGTTTTAGGTAAATAGGAAACACATTGTATGAGCGGGCATTTAGGCAACATGAAATGGCTGCAACACAAAATTTCTAAGATTTCTCCAACAAACAACCCTCTGGTGGGTATAATCTTCATGACTTATGACATGGTATAAAGCTGAAGAAAGTCGATTTTGTATATTTCCTTTAAATACTAAACCTTACCGGAAGCCAGTGGCACAGTGCAGGGAGCGTTTGATTGGCCTCTGTTTTCCTGTTGTCACGTTAATCTGTCGCATAACTGGGGAGGAAAATAATAGATTTCAGCACTAAAGAAGCTGCAGTTTATGAAAACACACAAAGAGCTACATATGAACCGCTTCTTAGACTACTCATCTTTATTGGTAGCCTTTTAAACCATCTACGTTACCCGAGAAGTCCAGTCTGTAGGTGTATTTGGCTGTGTAGAACTCCATGACCCCTCGCTGGTTCCTGTTGTAGCACTGCTCAATCTGAGCGCTGGTCACTGAGCAGGCTGCGCTGGGATCGATCTGACAGACATCAAGACAGAACAGAGCACACCTGAACCAATCAGATGATCAACTGGAAGGAGAAAAGAAAAATTACACATCCTTGGCATCAAAAGGGAATTTTACTGAAGGGTTGACTTACAATGCGGTGAAAATATATTCATACTTCTAACTTTTTTCCTCCCTTTTGTCAAGCTATCGCCTATAATCTGGTCAGATGAAACAAAGAAAAGTCAATTTTTTGGTCAAAATTCAAAGTGTGGTAAAATACTAAAAGTGTATGCAGTATTCAGAGGGTGAAGCATAGAGGTAGCACATCTGGCTTTGTTTGTTTTTTGTTTTGTTTTTTTCTTGAAAAGGGTAAATGAAGCTAATCAGAGCTAATGGGAAGATGGATGGAGGGTAATACTGGAAGAAAACATGTCAATAGCTGCTTGCACCAGGACAGCAACATATGATCAGAGTATGAACAGAATGTTTTACATCAGCCTAGTCAAAGTCCTGATAGGGGTTGGACTTCGAGTCTCAAATTTAAGCTCGTTTTAATATTAACAAACTGGTCAGCCTCAAGACGGGAAAAGCTGGAAAAGACAGCCCAAAACAATTACAGCTGTAATAGAAGTTGAAAGTCAACAATGTATAAAAGCACACCACACTTTTCACTTTTTTGTAAGAAAAACAAAAAATAAAATAAAATAAATAAAAACAAAGAAGTTAATTTTATCGGTTTTGTTCCATTTCACAGCTATGTATTACTTTGTGTTGGTCTATCCAAAAGTAATACAGTGAGGTTTGTGCCTGTAATGTAAATAAAAAATATTAAAGTCTAAGGATGAAGTGACATTTTTAAAAATGATTTAGGTTTAGCTGGACAAATAAAAAAATCATATGGAAATGGGATATTTTTAAGTAAAAATGTCTAGAGATGCTAATACTTTTAATATGCACTCTTCTCTCTTTTGTGGAAGTATTCTGATACATTCTTAGTCTTTTTTCTTTCTTTTTTTTACAGATAAGTTGTGGTTATTATTAATTTATCAAAAAGAATTAAACTTTATTTTTAAAAAATGTGCCATTTTGTGCAAATTTAACTATTTGCGAGCTTAAAATCAATTAAAAATTAAAGTTTCTCCCATTATTTGTCGATACATTGAATCTCGCAATACACTTTTTTTCCTAGCAAAACGCTTGTGCAGTTTGAATCAATTAAAATGCATTTAAACCTGATCAAATCTAATCTACCTCGAACATGTGCCACACTCCACATTCGGCCAAGTAGAACCAGCACCAGTTTGGCTCTGAGGTGTCCATCTCCTCAATCTCAGCGGACTCCTCGTCTGAAGATCTGATGGCTAACATTGCTAAATCTGAAATTAACACAAGCAAATAACAAAATTACGGGGAAATAACGTACGACACAGGTGGGAATGAGAGGGACTATGCGCTCATTTCATTTGTCCGACGAACCTAATGTCGACGAGTTGTGTTTAAGTCATTGTCGTGAGAGCATCCCCTGCTGTAAACAAACTCAAACAGAAAAATGCCATGTCGAGCTAGCTCTCCTTAGCGGCTGCCGCATCCGCTTTCTCTGAGCTCTGCGGGAGTTTCACCAGCTTCCAGTTTGTATTTAACTAGGCCTGTCTTCTCGAAATGTAATGCCTTCATAAATAATTAATAAGGAGGATGAAAAATCAAAGAGACGGCACGAACGTGGACGAGTAAATATCATTTTCCTTCTGGAATCCGTTGTTTACTTTTATTTCCTGAAACGTAACGCAAGCGTCAGCGCGAGAGTCAAATAAGGGGAGGGAAGGCGTGTTTGGGGAAACTAAACCCAGAGTTTGTCCTGCCAGGTACGCCATCAAACGAGATAAAGGCGTTATTTGGGAACTATTTAATTCGTTTCACAGTTTATCTTATTTTATTCTTTATCTTTTTTTTTTAAAGGGGAAAGTATTAAAATAATTCTAGCCTGGCTCATCCTAATTGCCGTTTTCCGGCAGTTTTGTGATCTGTAACATGAAAAACACACATGAAACATCATATTAAGCGTTGCTTCGGCGACATAATGTCTTTCATCATGCAGGAAGACTTATCTGATTTAGGAATTTTAATTTACAGTCACTACTGTAAACATTTCAGCAATCAGAAGTACTATTAGAACATAATGTAACTTAATCCATCTTCTGTGGGACAGCCTCCCTTAGTCCCGTTGGACACGCCCCTTGAATAATAAGACTTGTCTTCAAACTTTGCTCAGATAAACGAGAGGGATTTTATGTTTGATGCCTACAAGAGTCACACTAGTAAGTAAAAACCATATGGAAAGTTTGTTTTTGACTAACTGAAAAATTAGTGGCAAATTGACATTGCGGTCATTTACTAATAGCTGTTTTGGTGAGAAATTCTGATTAGATTTTTAAAGATTGGAGATATCTGTTATGCTTAAGAAATATCAATAAAAAATGATCTTGATTTTGCATTTAAACCAGTTATTTTGTGTATGCATGTGTAAAAAGCTGGATGTGATGCAACATATGTTTCATTTCATTTTCCCTTTGCCTGTAGGGGGATTATGACAGAAGAAACAGACAAAAGGGGCTCTGCAGAAGAGCACGGGCAGGACAAACAGGATCCTGAGGAGGGGGTTCAGCCTAGGGGAAAATGGGCCAACAATATGGAGTTTATTCTCTCCATGGCTGGAGAAATAATTGGCCTTGGAAACGTTTGGCGCTTTCCCTTTCTGTGCTATAAGAACGGAGGAGGTAAGGGGGGGGGGGGGGGGGTTTGGTTTGGGAAAACCCACCACAACATCAAAAAGATTAAAAAATTTTCTACAAAAA